GGGCATTGCTAGGTAGGTAGGTAGGTAGGTAGTGTACATTATCGTGCCGATCCAGCTGCCAAACTTGATTGAGAGGAGATGAAGGAGGAGAACCCTTGACCTCCAGGTGCCATGCATGGCCCTTGGTTCTCGACTCCCTGTCTCTCTCTCTTCCGAGAAGCGGATAGCACGGGCCCATGGAAGCAGAAGCAGCTCGTTAGCCCGGGCGATAAGCAGCGTGGGATCATGTCCAAAATTGGATCTCGTCTTGCTCGGACGATTGATTGGCTGGGCAAGCCTATAGGTGGACCGGCACCGCACGGCGCGGGCTTGGGCTTCGCTGGCGGGACCTTGCTCTAGATTGCCCTAGCCTCCTTAGCCTGCAACTCTCACTGGCTCGTACCTGGAGAGCCCTTGCGGATCGCCTCTTAGCAGCATGCAGGAACAGCGTGCCCTGGCGCGGTTGGAAACAACTCATCCGACCTGAGCAGACGACTGGCCCCAGCCAGAGGAACCTCAAGCTCGCTGAGGTCGATGCTGCACGCTGTGTTGCTTTGTTGCCATGTTGCGTGCTCACCTTGCTGAGCTTTGGGCATGCCTGCGTCCATGCCACGGGCGCGAGACTTCCAAAGTCTCTCGTCTCCAGGGCGTGGAAATGTGCTTGTCAATCATTGCTTGCCGAACCCAGACGTGTCGGTCGTCATCGCATCATTTTTACGGCCTACGCTGTTAGCAGATTGACCTTGTGAAAAAAGTCGCTTGGTGGCCGCCACCCTCGGCATGCATGCACTCACTCGCTCGCCGTGGCGCCGATGCGGCTTGCTATCCGCTGACCGGCAGAAAACTTGGAGGTCTGGCTGGTGGTAGTTTGTTTGTCTTGAACTGCTCGGCCTGCTCAGTTCGGGATGATGCGGTTACCCTCAACGGTGCACGATGGGAGAACCAACGACAGAAGCACCTTCCAATGATTCTCTGCCTGGAGTGACGCCGTGCATCGATGCCCCATATGTAATCATGCTTCGGCCGATTTAGATTCCAAGTCGCTCTTCTCCCTTCTCGGTCATTTGTAGGTTCCACCGTGTAACCCCCCCAAACTCTCCAGGACCCTGGCACCAAGAAGGAAAAAACATCCGCTAGGCTGCTTGTTCCTGGCACGGCCAATACAACGGCCTTGTCTTGATTGCCTACCAGTGTAACCATAAGCTGCTACCTTTCGGTTTCCCTGTCAGTAGCGGTTGTACGTAGGTATGAGAAATTACCCCAATTACGGGGGACCCCACCGCCATTTCCCCTTCGAAAGGGGGATGTGCAACGCTCTGTGGGTGACGGTATTTGTAGGACAGGATCCTGGGAATCCACCACGCAGGCAAACGTGCATGTTCTCTCTTGCGAAATAAGGCCAAGATGAGTACAGTTGGGCGGCGATTGGCTTTCCGAAGGCCTGTGAAGATGACAATGATGTCAATAGCGGAAAACCCTTCCGATTATTGGTTTTGTGGAAGCGATCATCACAGACAATCGATGCGCGCTATCGGGACCGACACCGTAGCAACCCCGATCCTATCTTTTGTGTGTTGCCGCCGCGCTTATCGTTGTTGTTGAGAAGCCGTGCTTGGGCAAACCATTGTCGGGCCAATGCCAGACCGCCGAACGGAACGACCCTCCACGCAGGTTCGACCATATGAAACATCGTTCGTCGGCTCCGGCCTCCGTCGTCAGCTGTGGGTATTATCGTTTCTCTCTGCGAGCGCGGCAGATGCCAGGAGACGGTTGGTTCCAAGCAAGCCCCCTGCTTGTCGTGATTCTCCGAATACCATTCTGTTGTTTCTGCAATGAACTGCACAATGGTATTGTCCAAGATACAAACTGGTTCGACGTAACCAGGTAAGAGATGGTAATATGGCAATAGTGAAACCATCACCACCGGGCCGGTAGCACAGTTTAGGCCACGCGTTGAGGGTTGTACCTGCGATCAGTCGAGGCAAGCCAATGGGCGGAGAGATGATTCTGGTGCAGCGTCGTTGTACGGGGAAAGAATCGGTCACACACGTACGCGGTCGGAGATGCCGAACACCCAACACAGCCTCCCATTCAGCCGAGACCGACCCTCGTTCGGGTAGGCGACGTAAGGTGCAGGAGATGTGTGTCGAGTCATCAGTGAAAAGCATGGGTGGATGGTCTGCAAGAAAATGTCGCCAGCACCGATTGTGGCCGATGCAGCAGGCGTACGATGCAAGAAGCGGTCACTGTCTCGTCACCATCATCCGTTGGCCGAAGTGTGTGTGGTGTCCTCTTGCGGGAAGGAACACAGCTGGCGAAGCTCTTGCTGGTGTTGACGTTTGCTGATTGGCATTGTTGGCCTTGTCACCGCCAATCATCGCTGTCGCATTTTCCTATTTTCACTTTTGGCCACCTCATCCTGCAGGCTTGCCAGCTCAACCACTCGGGAGTGGCTCTCTGCGCTGTCTAGCTCCTATCGTCATAACCTCGCTTTCCAGAGTAGGTAAATCCTTACCTTAGGTAAGTACCGAGGCAGCACACGGATGGGGGGGGCTTCGCTGAAAGAACTACCCCGCCCCCGCAATCCTCAGGTAAGGCAAAGCTGCTGAAGAAGGCCTAGTTCCTCTTTACTACCTACCTGTAGGCACCTACCTAAGGTAAGGTACCTTGCACATCCACTCACTGAAGCGAGTAGGTAGGTAGGTAGGTACCTAGGTACGCTACCACTCCCCTACGACCATTTGAGTTTCATCTACGTGGGACCTCGTGTTGTCCGCTAACTGGCTGGCTAGGTACTTTGCCCGCGGAACGCACCGCATCGCCTCGCCTGGAACGCAGATACATGTCATCGAGAATCCTCAATCCACTGTAGGTAATGCAGAGCTCCATTTTGTACCCTGCATATTCTCCCACGTCGTGCCATGTGTCCCGTCTGCATCTGCATCTGTATCTGCGTCTCGATGCTTCCATGATTCTGTCTTGATCTTTGCTGACTGCGTCGGGCCCTCCTTAGCTTCCTGGTACCTGTTCCCTCCTCCTCCCTCCTCCCCCCCTTCACAAGCTCTTCCCTGCAACTTGTCCAACTCCCTCCCGCACATCCCCCGCCTCCAAGAATCAGAGTATACCGTCATGGCGCAGTTGACTGCAACCACGTTTTCTACCGATCCGGCTCTCTGGATTTTTACCTCCCTGACCGCCGGATCCTCGCATATCGTCACCGCTACATCTCGTCTCGAAACCATTCTCCGCGCCAACCGCGTACCCTTCAAGGCCGTCGACCTCGCAACTGATCAGAAGGCTCGTATGCTTTGGGGTCGCCGTGCCGGTAAAGATGCCTCTGGCCGCGTAAGAAAGCTCCCGGCTCTTGTGCAAGAGGGCCTCGTGCTCGGCGTAAGTAGCGAACCCTCCTTCCCGACCCAGCTCTCGGTGAAGAGAGTCATATGCTGACAAGCTGCGCTCCTGTCCAGGATATCACCGAGATCGAAGAATGGAACGAATATGGCGAGCTCAAGCAGCACGTCAAAATCTACTACGACGAATTTACTATCCCTGACATCAACAACAAGCCCAAGGAACCTATCAAGAAGAAGATCATCAAGAAGGTACCCAAGGGCACGCTGTCGGGAAATGCCTCCACCTCTGCTTCCACCTCCGCATCGGCCCCCGCGCCTCCGCCAGCGCCCCCTTTGCCAATGGATGAGAGCTCTACTCCTGCTGCTGCGAAGGTCACGTCTGCCGAGACACCCCGAGCCCCAACCGATAACTCCTCCACTGTCGCCCACCGCTCCATTGCCGACGAGGCAGCTAAGAAGGCCAAGGAACTCCGGCTGCAGTCCCTGCGCGATAAGGTCTATGGCAAGACAGACGCGAAGACTGCTGAAGGCAAAAAGCCTGAGACCGATACGTCATCTGTAGCCACCACCGAACCCGATAAGAAAGCGGAAGCTGCAACGGACATCTCAAAGACACCAGAAACAGCCCGGAAACCCTCCCTAGCCAGCACCAGCAGCGGTTCCTCGGCCCAGAGCGTCAAGCCCGTCGGTCTCCAGTCCCCGACCACAGGTTCCTGGGGCGCCGCCGCCACGAACATCAATCCCGATGCCCTGCGCGAGACCCTCCAGTCACCGACAACGGCCCGTTGGAAGCCCTCCGATGTGGACAAGCCCGTCACGGTGCACATGGGCGCCGCGGTGGCGTCCGCGTCCCAGGAAGAGATTGCCGCGATAGAGAAGGCCGAGACTATCAAGGAGGAGCCTGATCAAGAGAATTCCGACGAAGACGTAGACGTGTCGCAGAAGAAGATCGCCGAGGTCGAAACGGCACACGCCATCAAAGAGGACCCCGAAAAGGAGGCAGCCGAAGACCTCACCAAGGCCGCCGTGCCGGAAACGGAGACGGCACCGAAGGAAGCCCCATCGGCCGAAAAGACCGAAACCACTACGAAGGCGCCGCAGCCGGAGGAGGATGACGAAGAAGAAGAAGACGACGATGATGACGGCGACGAGGATGACGATAGTGACGAGGACGATACGAGTAAACCCGAGACGAACCAGGAGGAGGCTAAGGCGAAGTCGGCATCAGAGGAGAAGAAGCTGGCAGAGGCAAAGATAGCTGAGCCCAACAAGTCCGGGGAGTCAAAGTCTGAGGGAGAAGCCAAGTCTAAAGGGGAGCCTGAGGAGTAGTTACGTTGCGCCGAGGACCAAGTCGCGAAGTTTTCTTGTTGGATGCCGTGATGGGGCCGGTGCATTGGATTGTATGGTGACAAGATTGCCGTCCTCTCACCATATACTGTATGTACTCTTTTGCAAGGGTGTGCGGTGTGCCATTTCCTGGAGGGTAGTACTTGCTGCTTGTTTGCTTCACGGGACGCCGATCTCTCTTCAGTTCGATTCTTACCGCTACGGAACTCGTTCAAAAAAAAAAAAAAAAAAAACCTTTGAATCCCCCACCAAGGGTTTATCGTTTCATGTGTAAGTGGGCGTGCTGCTCGATGCTATCTGCGGCTCGTCCCCTCCCCCTTTTTAATACAATCCCTCGTCGTCGCTCGCCGTTCCATCTTGGAATCCCGCGACAGCCTTGCCCTTGCCCTTGCCCTTGCCCTTGCCGTTCATTACCGCGACCTCGCCCTCGGATTCGTACTCGTCATCGCTGCCCGTCGCCACGGCCTTCCCCTTCCCCTTGGAAGACGCCGCCACGGCCTTACCTTTGCCCTTGGAACTGCCCCTGGACACGGCTGAGGACCCGGAAACGGCCCTGAACGCCGCCCCCGCCGCGGGGCGTTGAGGCTGCGCCTGCTTCTCCTTGTCGGGCGACCCCTCGAAGCTCGCCCTCACCTTCTCGTAGTGCGCCAGCTCGCCGGCGCTTACGCTAGGCACCAGCTCCTCGTGCGCCCTCATGAAGTCCTCTTCGGTGACCATGACGGCAATGTCGTCAGGCGTCGCGTGGTGGTCGAAGAAATAGGCCGTCGAGATGGGCGGTCGCGACGGCGCCCGGGCGGCGTTTATGTCGCGGATCTTGGCGTCGACCGCCGCTGCCTGCCGCGTGACGGCCTTGAGCATTGCATCACTGCAGAGGGCGTAAAAGTCAGCGCCCGTATAGGTGAACGGGAGCCGCTGAGCGACGGACTGCAGGGAGACCGAGGGGTGGAGAGTAAACCTGGGGCCGGAGATGTTAGTGTGCGCACAAACGAAGGCAAGCACTGGCTTGGGCGACTTACTTCCTGGTGAGAGCCTCGAGGATTGTGAGCTGCTTGTCATGGGTATCAGACACGCCGAGGTAGAGCATCTTGTCGAAGCGCCCGGGACGGAGCAGGGCGGCATCGAGCAGATCCGGCCGGTTGGTGGCGCCGATAACGAAGACACCGCCGCTCGTGTCGTCCCCGCCCGACATGCCGTCGAGCTCGGCGAGCAGCTGCGAGACGATGCGGTCCATGACACCGCCGCTGTCTCCCTGGTTTCCGCGCTTGGGCGCAACGGAATCCAGCTCATCGAAAAACACGACACAAGGGCGAGCATCGCGGGCACGCTGGAAGACGCGTCTGACGTTGGCTTCCGACTCTCCGATGTACATGTTGAGCAGCTCGGGACCCTTGACGCTGAAGAAGTTGAGACTGTACTCCGTCGCGATCGCCTTCGCTAGCAGTGTCTTTCCGGTTCCCGGAGGTCCGTAGAAAAGGATGCCAGACCGCTTCTTCATGCCCTTGGCGAAAAGCTCGGGTCTCTCCAGGGGGAGCTGAATGGTTTCTGTCACAGCATCCTTGACGTTGTTCAGGCCACCAACATCATCCCATGTGACGTTCGGAATCTTGGGAGCTCCGATGGCGCCTGCAAAGTTCTTCCGCGCGGCCTCGACAGCGACCTCAAAGTCGCCCTTGGTGACGCATCGAGCCATTGGTCCACCAGCTACCTGGAGATCCCGCACCGTGACGGCCTGGCCAGTAGCTTCTGTTTTCAATGATATTTGCTCCAACCTCAATCGCTGTGCGATAACTGCTCGGTCGACCACGTCCACTAAGTCACCGGCCACCAACGCAGCGGTTTTGAGAGCCACGCCGTTGAGGTCTACTTCAGGGTCTAGGTTGATACCGCGATCCTCAATAATAGCTCTGAGGATGCCTTCACGTTCAGCTTCGTCAGGGGCACCCATCTCAAGCTCATGGCTAAAGAGACCTCGAACTCCATCCGGGACCTTGTCGACGTCACTGGTAGTAGCGATTAGCACTCTTGTGTCCTGCAAAATCTCCTTCATGGTCGACACCATGCGGTCGGCAGTCAACGCCTCGATATGCCTAATCAGCAAAGCGGTGGTTTCTGGGCCACAGCTCATAGCTCTTTCGGCCCTGGTTCGCAGGAGACCTTCTGTCTTAACATCGCTGCCGCTGGTCCCTGCCTCACTGAGGATGTCGTATGCATCAATCGAGTACGTGTGGAGTCCAATATCGGAGCAGGCTTCCGAAGCCACAGTCGCTTTGCCTATATTGCGGTGCGTGGCGGTGACAAGAATGGCAACTGGCGGCATCTTCAAATGTACCGCTCTTGGGCTGGTGGCGGCGGCCAACAACTCTCGCAAACGTCTTCTGAGAGGTGAGACGTAACGGAAGTCCTGGTCAGGAAGCGTCAGTGCCGAAACACTTGGTGCTTTGCTGGGCATCTTCTTGACCCCAAGATAATAGGGCCAGGTGTTGGATTTGGTTGCGGGTATGCGGCTCGTGGCAAAGCCGGAGCCGTGCATCGCGACGGAGGAGCTGTCGATGCATGCCACCCCTCCCCACAACTCTTCGGACTGGTCATTGTCGGCATCGGATTTTGAGATCTGGATGTGGCCAACCTTGAACCATGCCACCTGGTCAAATCTTGCCGACCCTTCTTTGGACAGTGCCATCACGTCGTCCACCTCGGACCCATTGCTTCCACCTGGTTGCTCTTGTAGCGCTTTGCCCAGTTGTGTGTCGATGGGCACGGCGATAAGATCGCCTGTCCGTACAAGTCGGATATTCTGAGCAAAGTAACGCTTGAGACCGCCAAGGACCGCCGATTGGTAAGCTCGTTCCGCAGTCACTGGTGACCGGACATGCTGAATTGTGATATCGCGGGCGTACGGGGGACGCGAGGCGTTCGTGAACTTGGGAAGAGTTCCCTTTCCTTGATACGCCCCCCGCTTAATAGGTGACAGCCGGAGATACGACGGTTCATCAAGATTGGCTAACAGAATGGGAGATATGTAGGCTGTCGGGCTGGTCGGCTTCTGGAGTTGGGAATCGAAGAAAGACAGTTTGCGTTCGCCATGCTTTGCACCTGCTATCCGTGTAACTGGGCGTTGAGAGTACCCCTCTGGAAGACCAAAGACCCTTACTGGACGCCAATTGGACTCGGACGGGTCTAGCGACGTGAAGCTTCCGAGTCCAAAGGCGCCGAACCCATTGGCAGGAGGTTCTTCAGTAGCCTCGATGCGGACCCAGTCTCCTGAGAAGCACCCGATCTTCGACAGGGAGGCAATGTCTACGAAAACCCTAGCCTCATCATCATCCTCTGGTGCCGGCTTCGGGTGAAGGAGGTCCATGGGAATGGTTCGAATCAGCCCCTGAGCCCTAAAAAGTCGGCCTCGAGGTCGGTCTGGACGAGCGGTAGTTGCAGTATAGTTGGAAAAGACAGAGCCGGGAGTTGCAATCCCGTTGGTTTTCCTTCCCCTTCCGATGGTCATCGGTGATCCCGGCTGCATGGTAGACATACCACTTGCGGCAGTCGTAGGTAGCGTCGGCGCCTGCAGAGAGATCATGTCATCCATGGAGTCGTCAGAGAGATCGTCATCCTGGTCGATGCCAGAAAGCTCCGACTCCTCTGTCTCGGTCACGGAGTCTATTTCGGTGTTCGCAGAGTCCGTCTTGTACCTGTCTTCTGCAGCTGAGAAGAACTGATCGTTGGCGGTATCGTCCTCTTCATCGGGAACACCGTTCAGGCTCCGATTCGGGGGGATCGAGGGAGCGGCTTGACCGTGCTTCGTGTGTACCCGCCCTCGCATCAAGACGATCTTTGTGCTCTCGGAGAGAACTCCTTGGCTCACGGGCTCACACAGCATGATCTTGCCTGGGTTTGGGGGGATATGGGTGACTGGATGCGGAGGTAGCGGTAGAGGAAAGAGGTCACCAGAGTGAAGAACTCGCAAACTTCCCAGAGCCACGCGCAACGAAGAGATGAGGCGACCCTCGGAGGTTTCTGGGGCGGCAGAACCCACGCCATTGACGCTGCTTGGATGGTCGCGGTAAAAGGTGCCCTCGCCTTGTTCCAAGCGCTTCGTCAATTCGCTCTCGAGGCTAACGTATACTGTGTCCAACGAGAGTGCAACCACGTCTAATATCTGGATTTCAATGCCACTGCGGCTGTTACTTGAGAGTTTCGACGGCGCAACCTGCTGGAGAGTGGTCGCAAAGCTCTGCAGGGACAAGGACGAGGGCGAGAATTGGACGGTCGAAGGTTTGAGCGCCGAGGACTTGACTACGGGCACCACCGTCCAGGCGGTTTCGGTCGGAGACGGGGTCGGCTCCCAGGGAGCGATGGCTACATGATGAACGTCCTCGGAGCCATCTTCACGAGCGGGCACTACGCGACAATGGAATCAGCAACTGCGTGTCGAGATTCCTGTTTCCCAGAAGTGCGTTCTTACCATCACGGAGGTGGGGGAAAAGGTCTGCGAATAGGTCCTCGGACAAAGTACCGACATCGCCCCCCGCATTGTGATCATCCAGAATTAGCCTAGCTGCGATCGCCGGCTTGTCTTGACGACGCCTCCGCGACCTCCTGTTCCTCTTGGCCAGGGATGGCGGCGCAAGCTCTGAGGTTGTCATCGTATCGATCAGCAGGCGGGACCAGTTCAAAGCAACGGAGCGTGGCGTGCTTCAGGTGGACATCGCAGGGTGACGAGCGCAAGGGTTCAAGGTCGTGGAGGGATGAAAGTTGGAGCAGTACGAGCAATTGAAGTCGGAAGGTATCAGCAGTCAGAGGTTGACGAGTCCATGTTGTGAAGCTCGATTCAAGGAGCTAAGCTAAGGTATGGATGGTTGGTTATGGTTGGTTGGTGTGGTCCCTGGACCGGGCTGGAGTTGGGGCCGTCTCCAGCTTCGGCTTGGGGAAGCGTCAGGCCTCGGCATTGGAGTCTTGCCAGTTGCAGCCGCTACAGCAACCCACAACCCTTGAGGACAGTCGCTCTGCAGGTTTTAGTCGATAAGCCCGAGCGGGGATGTATGACTAATCATCTGGGGTTACGGATACCTTGAAGTCAATTCCGAATAACCTCCAATGACCGGGTCTGGTTGTACTTAATGATGAATTCAAAACAGCCAACTGTCAGTCAGTCCTTCGCTTCGAAACATGTGATTGATACAAGATCTCCTGGGATGCCGCCAAGTATTGTACCGTCTATTCTCTTGCAATTTTTTTCTCCTTCGTTTAAATGAAACCTGAAGAAGCCATTTTCCAAGAATGGCGAGTCACTGTACTGTCGCACCGAGTCCAAGGTTGAATGACGAGCTGCGTCATGAGATGACGCTGTAGAGTCAAGCAGCAACGCGCCGTAACAGGGTAATATCGCCAACTTCGGCCTCTTCTTATATCCATGAGCCACAAAGCGGAAGCCTATGCAAGGAATGGGCGGAAGAGCAGGTGATCGATTGGCCAATGGTGTTTCCCGAACATATGGCAGGTTGGTGAGGCCTCTGTGTCGACATCAGCAACACCCTGACAATTACCCTGACCAATCCAAGCAGTGTAAGCACCAACGCCTTTGGCCCGTTTATCACCTTCTAGACACTCGCGGCTGCGAATGCGACGTATGGATTTATATTCGCGGCGGGCAGTATCCGAACAGGTCGTCCTGGCCCAAAATATGGAGCTAAAAGAGGCCCTAAGCTGAGATACTTTTGATATCTCGTAAGGTCGCACAAAAAGACACTTTGGACGACAGCACATACACACGCAGCCTCAGCCAGTGTTCGCAAGGTGGCGGCGCTTGTTGTCATCTTGACGACCAGGCACCTCTTCCAATCTGCAACCATACAGATTGACAAAAGGTGGCTTGTTGCAATTACGAAAGGTGGAAAGCGTCGAAAGTGAGTCCTCGACTCGGATTTCCACTGCAACGATAGCGTTCGTTGAGCAAAGACCACTGTATTCTCGTTTTGTTGTGTACCCTTCGAGGAACCGCCGCCAGTGCGTACGAAGTAAGTACCTAGGTAAGTGGCGTAGGTAGTGTAATATGTTAGGACTGGTCAAGGCATGCTTCCATGGTAGACCGACGTAATGAGACCCGTTGAAAATCCGGCAAAGCGGGCTCTTGGGCTTCGTTGATGCTGTCAGAACGCATCAGTCAATCCACGTCAATGACGCTTGTCTTCCAAGACACCAGCTGGGATCGTCACATGCTTTTTCCCTCCCAGAATCACAATATCCAATCATGGCTGCCGTTGAGCAAATGCTCCGTGCAACAGACATGGCAATGACGCAAGCGGGGTGGCTTCTTCCTGTTCCAGCCACACCCTCTAACGCCCCTGGCCCGACAATTATGAGACCTTAGCCGACAGCGTTTGGCCCGTTCTTCAGCGTCTCTGCCTCTGCCTCTGCCTCTGCTACCGTAGGTAGTGTGTCGCCAACCGCAAATGACAGGGAGGACCTTGGGCCCAAAACAGAGTTTCGAATGGCAGCGGCTGGGCCTCGTGGGCGTGGACGTTATTTGCACTCCGGCCCGGGGGTGCTGCTCCGATTTGAGGTGGCATTGGCAGGTCGAGACCGTGATACGATCTGGCTTGCGGCCCGCATCGATGGCATCTAGACCGACATCATCAGTCCACCATTCTTGCGGCAAGTCCGATGCACTGTGATGTTTACATTGGCCGACTGTTTGTTTTTATCGTGGTTCTTATCTTTGTCTGGTCCCCTAATGGTCCTTAGTTCGTCTCTCCCTTGGTATTCACTAGCCAACCGAACCGTACTGGCCACTCTCTCGGTCTCCAACTCATAGTATCACTAGTGTATCGGTGTCCTTGCATCCCCAATTTACTCGCCCACCCCCCTCCCCCCTTCCTCGTTCTGGATCTACGCTCTGTTTCCCTGCCTTGGACCGCCTCGACACCTCCATGAAGCCCGTTCATGCCATCAGTGGCTGCAAAAAGGACATTTGACGGGCAAATTTCCACCTCGTCTACCTTCCTTTTCAACTTCATCTCGCATATTCTTGTCGTTATTGCGCGAAGACAAGCGATTACATACCCCTTTTTAGCGCACGAATCTCACTGAACCTCAACATTCGGCGACTTTTGCGACGTCGAGCAACTGACTCCCCCCCCCCTTCTTCTCCTTCTCCTTCTTCTCTCTCTCTTTCTTTCTCTCTCTTTCTCTCTCTATCACACACGCGAGCGGTTGCAAACACAACCCCAAAGATATGGGCAACTTTTCCGACTCTCCGGACCATGGTCGAGACAGTATACGCGACAATGGCGTCGCACGTGTCGCTGTTGAGTTCGCCCAGCAGGCCGAGAAGCTATCGTTCCAGAACCACCAGAACAACGACTCCGAGGTCGCCGTCGAGGCTCGATTCGTCACACCCCAAGACCCCATCGTGGTCACCTCGGAAGGCAACAGGCTCCCAGGTGTTCCGCTTGTCGAGGCGCACAGACTGAACGCTCTCAAAGAAGAACTTCAAGATGGCCCAGCTGTAATCAAGATCAAACAGGGGAGTGACACGGAGGAAGAGATTGACAACGGCGAGAAGTACACAGGCATGCAGGAAAAGGTCATCTCGTTACCAACAGACACAAACGGAAAGGAAAAACAAAAGTCGGAAGAGGGCTCCCTTCGTCGCCAGATGCCGCCGTCACACACCAACCCCTTGTTTCCGCCCTTACCCCTCTACGGCCCGCCGTCCTTGCTTCGCGACTTAGAATGCATGATTTTTCGCGTCACGGCCTTCTTCCTGAGCCTGGCTTTTCTCGGAGTCATTGTGCTCGGTGCACTCTTCACTAGTATACCACCGTTGTGCACACGCATTTTCTACCGCCTAACACTGCAGAATCCGGACAAGAAGAGACCTTTCTTCGAGGAAGAGGCGCGCAGGAACAAGGTGCGCAAGGAAGAGAACAATAAATGGAAGCGGAGACAGAGTCTAGGCAAAGACAAGGAACTCGCCGACGAGTTTGTCCCAACGGAAGGGGGCCCTGACCCAATTGTGTGCGACGTTGGATACTATGCTCGTCGTGTCGGACTCGACGTCGAAGAGATCCAAGTTCAAACAGAGGACGGCTTTCTCATCGACTTGTGGCACGTATATGACCCCAAGGAGTACACGAGGATGAGCGAAGACGACAGGTCAGACAGAGGACCCGACATCTTTACATCTTCCAAGAAGAAGCTCAAGGATCCCAGCCAGAAGCGCAAGTTTCCCGTTCTACTCCTCCATGGCCTTCTCCAGAGTTCGGGAGCGTACTGCACAAACGACGAGGACTCACTCGCATTTTACCTCTGCAAGTCGGGTTACGACGTCTGGCTCGGCAACAACCGGTGCGGCTTCAAGCCCAAGCATTCCTCGCTGGAGTACTCCGACCCGCGGATGTGGTGCTGGAACATTCGCCAGATGGGTGTTTTTGACCTGCCGGCGCTGACCTCAAGGGTCCTGTACGAGACTGGGTTCAAGAAGATCGGCTTGATCTGCCATTCTCAGGGTACGACACAAACGCTCGTCGCGCTGGCAAAGGAGCAACGGCCAGACCTGGGCGAAAAGCTGACGGTCTTCTGCGCCCTGGCGCCCGCTGCGTATGCTGGGCCCTTGATCGGGAAAATGTACTTCAAGTTCATGAGGATCATCACGCCGGGCATGTTCCGGTTGATGTTCGGCATCCACGCCTTCATCCCCTTCATGATGCAGATGCACGAGCTGCTTCACCCCAAGGTCTACGGCTGGCTCGGTTACAAAGTCTTTTCTTTCCTGTTCGACTGGACGGACACGAGGTGGGATCGAGCTCTGAAGGACCGCATGTTCCAGTTCGCGCCCGTCTACGTCAGCGCGGAATCCATGCGTTGGTGGCTTGGAAGGGAGTGCTTCGCGAGGCACAAGTGCATCCTCTCCACCAAAGAGGACGTCCGCGCCGAGGAGAAGGAAGACCACATCAGCGGGCACGAGTCCCATACCCTCCGGGCCGACGACGCCGACGGGCTCATGTCCACGCGGACACTAGAGGAAAACGCCCGCAAGCCCAAGGGATCGACCGCCTGGTACAACGAGCAGGTACCCCCCTTCGCCCTTTGGGTCGCCGGCAACGACGACCTCGTCGACGGCAAGAAGCTCCTCCGCAGATTTGAGCGGGGCCGCGAGCCGCACGTCAACGTGGTCCACGCCAAGGTCATCCCCGAGTATGAGCACCTCGACGTCATCTGGGCGATGGATGCCCCGGAGCAGGTATTTAGGGAGGTCCGCGAGGTGTTATGGAAGACGTGCGATGTGAGAGACGAGTGCCGCGTCCCCAAGGGATGCGAGAGCGTTGAGCGGTGGACCCCGCCGAACAAGAAGGCGAGTGTGGAGGCGGAGTCGGATGAGAGCCAGTCCAGCAGCGACGATGCTGAATAGGAGCCGAATACGATTCAGCGGGGCGGCGGTCGCACGGTACATATCATCGAGCCGAGTGCCAGGAGCATGAAAAAGTAGAGACGCGGGGGAGGGGTATTGTATTTAACAGGAGCTGCAGATATGCACGTTGGCTTCCCAGCATCGCGTCGGAGTCGAGGTGCCGGTATTGGATTATTACACAGAGGGCTTCCAAGCATAGCATACGTATGAAGTTAATGGTAATGAGTTGGGGGGGGAGTTCTTGATTTCATATGCTGCCAAAGAGATAAAACATAACAAGACTAGAAGAGATGTATGAAGCGTCAAACTACATGGAACTTCATGATGATCAGCGTTCTGAGGAGGGGGGGCCTTCCTTGGGTGAACCACCTCGTCGTAGATGAATCCACGGCAACTGTCGGCACCATAAAGATCAGTTATATCGATGTGCCAGGGCCCATCTCAACGACGGTTGGTCTTCTACCGAGCACCGTCGTCGAATGGAATCGTGCCAAGTCTAGCATCAATCGCCGCCGACCATACGCTCATGAGTTCATGCACTCCATCCATCTCGGGACCAAGCCTGTGCGAAGCATCTCACAACGAACACGGATTCGTGCTCTCACAATGCAGCATCCGACCCCTCATCGTGTGCGTACTTTTTTTGTATTCATACGGAAAATCAAACGGGCAAGGTCTCCCCTCCATCGCGTGCGTATGTTTCGTGCGACCGACAGTGTCCAGAAACATCTCCCCAGGAAACGAGGCATGCCCACTGCCACTGCCTCACTTTCCTCATTTTGCCCCCTTCCTCCTCCGTGCCCAAAAGGCGCGGAAACAAAGACAGAAACAATGTCTGTGTGAAACGCAGCAAAACCAACAAATGTAAATACAAATACAATACAATCATCAATACCAATGCCCCTCCGTGAACGCCTTAAAACACAAATAGGTTGAACCGGCTGATTGCCAAGCCAGGTATATATACGCATCGAATGCCTGGGGAAGGGGAGAAGAGAAGAGAAGATGCAGTTGCTCGTCATCATCGTCGTCATCGTCATCGCCTTGTCGTGAACACCATCCCAGTTCGCCGCAATCTCCCAGGTTACCAGAACCCAACGCCAATTCATGCAGAACAACATGGACCGGTCGTGATCATCATCATCATAAGTGGTTAGTAAGCAGTCGGTCCGAGTCTCGCGGTCCAAGGGGGAACCTCAGGATCGAGGGCCGGGCTGAAAGGCTCTGCGCGACACCTAGGCGCCAGAGACCTTTCGTGCTGTTGATGCTGCCGTCGCAGACGTGGCCGAATTGCCCACGCTGCCGACGCGACCGCTCGTCTTGCGCACTCCCTCCTTAGACCTCGGCGACTCTCCCGACCGCTTGCTGCCACGAACCTTGGTGAGAACACCGGATGCGCTGCTAACGCGATCGACATGCTTGACGCGTGATGTGCCGAGGTTTTCAACGTCGTTGCTGGCATCGTTGTCGATATACGTCTGGTACACGGTGGCGGCTGAGTGACTAACTGATCGCTTCTCGCTGCGGCCAGGCGATGCAGAAGCCTTGCGGTGCGCGCGCATCCGCATGTGCAGTTCCTCGTCCGACTCGGCGCTGTGGGTTTGCTTGTGGATTGTGATGACTTCGGCGGTGTCCTGGTGGATTCCCGTCTCTTCCTCGACCGTCGCTGTGTACGAAGTCGATCTCTGGTAGGGGTGGTGACGGTCTGCCCTGTTGGTCTTTCTGGGCTGGCCCGGTGTCGGCGCCGGGAGGTAGTCTTCTTGTACCCCAATGTTATTGCGGTCGTGGTCTACTTCGCTCAGGGGCGTCCGGTTCGAGGTACTGCGGTGGGGAGGCGTGGATGCCTGGCCGTTGCGGATCGACGTCTTTTGCATAGCACGGATGGGAGTGCTCGGCGCAGCAGCGTTAGCCGCCATCTCCTTGCGGAGCTTGCGCTCGATGCGCTCCTCGATCCACCACTCGCGGAAGATGCCCTGGTTGATGTGAAGCCAGTGCTGCTGGGGGCCGACGACCATGCCGGGACGCATGAAGCGCATGAAGGCGATGATTTCGTTGGCCGTGAAGCCGTGGCGGTAGATGAGGTACGCGCCGATGAGACAGCCAGTTCGTCCGAGGCCGGCCTTGCAGTGGACGGCGATTCCCTTCTTCTTGACGGTGATGGTCTCGTGAGCCAGTCTGATGAACTTGCGAACAGTGGTAAGGGGCGGGCAGGTGCCGTCGTCGAAAATCATGTCGAGGTGGGAGATACCCATGGCCTCGAAGAAGGACGGGGAGTAGAGGGGCGAGTTGAGACGGACGACGAGGCCAATGTTCCTCTCGGTGAAGTGCTTCAGGACGTTCTTGAAGGGCTGGGGGAGCGTCTTGTTCGCGTCCAGCTGTCCGAGCGACCTGGGGAGCGCATCGAACTCCTCGGTACCCTCAAGGACCTTGGCAACTGGGGTGTGTTGAGGTGAAGCGAAGGCCAAGAAGTGCGGCGTGATCCAGTTGAAGTCTCCGTGCTCCACCCTCTCGAACTTTTCATACTCGTCGAGGTCAAAGTTGTCCAGCGCGCAGCAGCCCTCCTCCTTGGCCTTCCAGACACCGTAGACAACATCCTGGACGGTGATGCCATAGTCGGCTTGACTGTATCCAGCGTCACGGAAGGGCATCAAGGGCGGGTCGACCTGGGCGATGGGGGCCAGGGCCAGATGCGGGGGCCAGTTCTGGATCAGGACCATGTAGCAGGCAAGCATGCAAGCGGCGTTGGCGCGACCTGAAAAGAAAGCATTAGCAAGGGAGGTCGATGGCGCGGGAACGCTGCAACATACTTCTGGGATCGGCTCTGCTCCAGAAGACGATTGGGCGATCCTTGTTTTCCTTGGCTCCGAGGACGTCGTGGAACTGCAGGGCGAAGCGGTACAGGTGGCCGATGTGCAGCGGGCCAAAGTCATGGTGAAAAGCATTGTACAGGAGGGTGTCGTCGACGGTGAAGTAGTAGGGAGCTTGGCGAGCGACGGTCTGGACGGGCGTGGGGCCTTCTGCGGCTCTCTGCGATCGCTTTCTGGGAGAAGACTGGGCGGCCTCGCCGTAGGGGAAGATGGTATCGGCCGTGGGCGGGTGAATGTACGCAGCCAGGTATAGGCGGTCTGGGAGCCACGTCAGAAGAGACACGGGAAAGAAGGCGCAATAGAGGTAGGGATGAAGCTGGGGTAAGGCAAAGCTGTAGCTGTCGGGTGATGCGCCCATGGCGGCTTGCGACGACTGAGGCGACCCGGACAGCTTGTGATAAAGATGCGACATGGTTGCGGTGACAAAGGGATGTGCATAATGCAGGTCGGGAGCGTGGGCAGAAACATACCTGGGATATACTCAATGACTTGGCCCATGTTGGGGCTCTTGGAGGAGGGTGCCATTGGGCTTGGAACTCTCTGTTTCCTCTTGATCTTCTATATCAATTGAGAACGGATGAGGATGGCAGTTGCTCCCGTGCGAGGCGGCGGCTTGATTTAGAGGTGCAAGCGCAAGCGAGTGCCTGTTTGTGAGAGGATGTGGCAGGTGCCGAAATTATCCAGAGGCGGAGGATACGATACTCCTTTGTACGCAAAGTAATGCGCGCGCGCAAGGGAAAGCAGTCTCTGGGGAAGTGGCAATGCGTGGTGGTGAGAGGTAGGAATGCTGAAATGGCCTGGGCTGAAACAATAACAACAACAGGTGTACTCTCTCTATCGGGATGGATTGGAATCGCCAAAAGAGGTTGCAAGCGCCCTGGAGGAAGGTGGGGGGGAAAAGCAACCCGATTTTTGTAGAGGAGCCAGGAGCTTCTTTGGCGATTGAGAGAGAAACGGAGTGATATCGAGTTGGGTAAAAAGAAGGTATTGCGAAGCGCAGGGAGGGACCGAACGATGGTGTTTTTGTATGGTTTGGCGTATGTTTTGCTGAAGCGGTCACAATGGGCCCTGGCCCAAAACAGCAAGGGTCAGTTGTTGTTAGCCTCGTTGCGCTGCGCTGGCTGCCGGGCTGCCAGGCCGTTGTCAAGACAACCTGCCAGGGGGGAAGCACTGGCCATTTACGACGTCCTGGCGAATTACCTGGGGCCCTTGGTCGGCCAGGAACGCCTCAGGCAAACGCACCCGTCTCCCTCCCGCCCCCAGTCATGACCCCTCTAAACCCTTTTGGGCCCTTGACGGCTGGTGACGACCGCCCGAGCGCAGACCTCCCTCCTTCTTCCCAATGAGTAAGATCATAACCGAACCCATGAGCTTCTTCTGCCTTGCATTGTTATGTTATGTGTGTGCATCGGTATTATTCCTTCACAACAATCGAGCTGCTCCGCAAAGAGATTCCAGACTTGCTTATCGGGCGGCACTGCGTCAGACATACCCGACGCCAGGGCGACCCCACGTTCGCATCCCTTCTTGTGTGGATGATGACCGCATCCATCACAAACACACGCAGCCTCTCCAATGGAGAGAGAGCAAGTCACCTTGGGGACGGTGCGGAGAGTCCTGTGCGTAGCGTTGCCGTTGCCATGCTTTGCCTAGGGGATTGATCCATTGGGGGAGGGAGTGTCACGTCAACCTAATGCCGCCATGGAAACAAGCCTGTGTGTGGAATGGCGGGGCAGTTTATTGCCGTTTTGCTTTTCCCCCCCTTCATGCCTATGATCTGGCCGCTCAATCTCACACTTTCCTTCCCTTCCCGCCAGCCATTGTGCGTTGTGGTGTTTTGTGTTCCCACTTGGTGGACTGTGCTGAACAGACATTCTGCGCCGCTCAATTACAATTGTAGAGATTTATTTTATTTTATTTTTCGTCTTCTGCCAGCTTTCCCAGTCCCCTCCTACCCTGCCTACCTGCTGAAAGCTCCCCCTCACTCCTCCACATCTTCCCCCTTCCCCTCCAAGCGCAAATCAGCCGCGCCGGAACCGCAGCCATGGCCGTCAACAACAACACCACCACCACCACCACCACCACCACTGACGATGAGTTCCCGTGCTCGCTGTGAGTTATCACATCTGGTCTCCCTTTCCCCCTTGCACCCCCTTGTGGCGCATTGTTTCTGGGCCCACCACCGGAGAGAGAAACGGATCACTAAGACACCAAGCCGCAGGACAATCGACGTCCCCTTCCCTACCCCACGCCTTGCATCCGTGGCGCACAGAGCCCTCGCCGTCGACCAGGAGCTGTCGCCGCTCGTTAGGCGAACCTTCTTCGTCGACGACGACGACTCCGCCGCCGCTGCCGAAGCCGCTTCCGTCCTCCACGTCTACTACAAGGCCACTACGAACCGCATGCTCCGCGTCGCCGTTAATGGCCTCATGGAGAGCCTCAACCTTGTCGTCGAGGTGATGGAGGAGCTTGACGTTGACGTCTTGGAGCACAACCGGGACAACCAGTGAGTTGAGTCATGTCGAGTGGGGAGGGTTGCGGATATTGAGAAGAAAAAGAAGAAAAAGAAAAAGCAAGGGAAAGGAGCGTACAGAAAAGCACCACCTGCATGCGACATGAACACGGAACGGGACGGTGCATCATACTTTTTTTATTTTCAACATTGTGATACCCTAGAATATACGGAGTACAGCCACATGATTTGTGCCGAGTTTTGTGACACCTGGGTCGATTAGTGGTTCTCGATGCTATGTGTTTGTCAGGCTTTAGTCTAGACTTGTCTCGAAGAATAGAGCCCAATACGTCCGCGTGTTGCATACGAGAGCCACTTGTGTGGCGAGATTCAAAAAGCGGGAAACTGCTGCTCGTGATCTACAAAACTCCAAATGCCCCTTTCTGCCTTGTATTATTTCGTATATCAAGCCTTTGCCGGTTGCTCCGTTTCGTCGGAAGGGCCCCAAGCCTGTAATTATGTTCGCAACTAGCCCTATACGGTCTCTCTCTGCACCGCCTTCGCATGCAGCTCCAGCTTCTTCTCGGCCTCCTCGGCTCGTTTGTTTGCGTCGGCGACTTCTTGCTTCAGCTGCTTGATGTACTCGATCGCCAGCTCGACAGTGCTGGCCTTGCTATTCGGGGCGCCGCCGGTCTTGGCCTCTTTTTCTCTCTCCTTCCTTTCTTCCGCCTCAGTTTTGCAATCCTTCGGTGGCTGAGGCAACAACGTTGCCATTTCTTGCAAGGCCGAGTTAATGCGGTTCCGGCGGCCCTGCTCAGCAATTTTGTGGGAAGTGCGTTTCGATGTGAGGTTGGTGGACAGCTCGCTGGGATACGTCACGCCGGGCACAGTGTTGCCCTCGATAATGTTCTGGTAATTGGACTTGGATGCCAACAGACGAGATGCCGTATCTTCAGCAGACATACTGCCGGGTGTTCCCGGCAGGAGCGGCTTGATGCTGGGTGATATCCTCGGTCGCAACGCGGGGGAGACGTGCACTGAGCTGACGCTGCCTCTCTTGCCCTGGGCACCTCTGGCCACAAGTTTCGGCGTTTTCCGTGCCGCTGGACCTGTCGAACCGGGAGCTAGGTTAGGGCTCGCGCTTGCTGAAGCAGCGGCAGTGGGTTTTGCGAAGGTTGGCGAAGGGAGCGGCTGGAGTGACGAGGTCCTCGCCGAGCCAGGGTCTGACAATGACTGCGTGGGCGTGGGCATGTCCAGTTTCGGGGGCTGTGGTCGTGTAGTAAAGTTAACGGACTCGGGTAGCTCGAACGACTCGATGTTATCTGACATTCCCAGGTCTTGGGGATTTGACGAAGCTGAGTTGTTCGCGCTGGAAGCGGGAAGCTTCATGAGAGAGGCCGGCGTAGCAGGAGAGGGCTTGCCTTGTACGTGAGCCGGTACCGCGGGCTGGGGGTGAAGCTGAGGCTGAGGTTGGATGAATGGCGATTTGCTTGACTGTTTCGGCTGGGGAAGGGGCGGCGGTGGCATGTCTGAGATATTCTCCGGCGACACTGACGCATTTTCCGACTCTTCACTGCTCATGAGGCCCGGCAGAGCAGTTGAAGGCAGCATCTGTTCCAGAGGGTCTTCGTTCACTTCCCGGAGAGCCTGTGAAACCATCTTGGGCGTGGCTGTAGACTTCTTACGTTGAGGCTTCGAGATGGGCGACTGTCGCACACTGCTCTTTGCCTTTGCTCTCGAGGTGTTGGTCTTGCGTGCCTTCTTTGCCAGGTCGACCCCCGGAGACTGCGTAGTCGTCTCGACTTCCATCTCGGCCGGTGAGTTGTGGGCCGAGAGCGACAACCGGCCGTCATACACGAGGCCTTGGTCGCTTTGTGCATGGAGTGCTGGTGATGTGAGAGGGCTGAAGTATGCGCTGGGAATGGCGTATCCGCCGGCTTCCATCTGAAAATGGGGATCCAATGGGGTCACTGCTGGTGAGACCAATGGGGTGAAGGACATCTTGAAAGGTCAGCTGGGAGCTCTTTTTTGGGCTCGAGGCGATGGGCATCTTACATCCTGCTGTTCCTTCATCCGCTGATATCTGCTGCCGAACATGGGGGTGTGAGCCTGCTCTGTCAAGTAAAACTGGTTGCTGGCGGGCGGCATCTCGAGACTTTGAGGTGTTGGCGGAACAGCATGTGACCGGGTGGTGTAGTATGCGACCTGCTGTTCCTGCATCTGGCGATGCTGCTGCTGCATCCGTTGCTGTTGGAGATATTGGATCTGGGCATCAATTTCCGTGATAGCATCCGTCGGCGCGGGGGGGATCATCTGGGCCGGTACGGCAGGATGTGAGGCGGCGGTTGTCATGTTGATGAGCTGCGACTGGAGGGTTGAGCTGTCATTTCCCATTACCATGGATGTGTCGGTTCCTCCCATTTGGGTGTCAAGGTGCTCGTGCCCGGCCTGGTGCATCATTCCGGAGCCATTCCCGCCCTGGTAGTCGTGGAAGTCGAAGGGCATTGTGTCGCTAAGGTTTCCCATCCCGCCCATGTCCAAAAACTGTTGAAAGTCTTCATCGTGGTTGGGTGCCAAACCCTGGTCTTGGGGGTTCCAAGAAGCGGCGTCCATCATGGCTTAACTAGGTTTCCGAGGCGCAGGGTGTCGTTAGCTCGACGGCAGGTGGTGAGGTGAGTGTGCTCGTATGCGATTTCGGGGCTCCAACAAATCCTATCGCCCAATTCAAACCAAGAGGCCGAATTGGTGTCGGTATTCCAGGTCAATAGCGACAGTCGTAGGAGAATGAATGTCAGGGTGCAGTCGATCAAACAAGGTGGGCAAATTGCGCAAAAGGTAGGGAAGACTACCTAGGACGCTTGTCGTGGGGTTCGTGTTCGAGATTGGGGAAACGCTGGTGGTGGGTGTTCAGGGCGCACAGAGGATCAGTGCCTCGCGCCGAAGTATCTCGGTGGCAGAGTCCGAACTCTCTCTCTCTCTCGCGCGCGCTCTCGTCGCGGAACAAAGAGTTTTTCTGGGCAGCTCGAGCGGACGATGTGCGAAGAGCGAGGCGACAAAGGAGTGGTGGGAGCAGGAAAACCTGCCTCTCTTGGCGGAGAGAGAGGCTGGAGGAGAGGGACAATACGGCGAAGGACGGAGAGGCAGTAGCAGTGGCAGCGGTAGCGGTAGCAAGCAGGTGACAATAATGGTGGGGGCACACATCTTCCCGAGGAGAAGTAGGAGGATGGTGGGGGTGGTGCGCACGGCCGGTGACTGGTCGACAAGCCCGTGAATACTTTTTTTCTTCTTTTTACGTATGCCGGCGGCGGATCCGCGCCTTGGAACTTTTGGTAGGAACTGTATAGAGGTAGTCTAGGTATTCCGAACTACCTACCTAGGTACTCACCTTGGACATGGTTTGAGGATTATCCCATGCCCGGGTAGCACATTCATCCTCCTTGGAAGTCCCCTGTTCGGACCTCTAATCTTTGTTTTTAATTCATTTCTTTGGACGAAGTACTTGTAGGTTTTGTCGAGGGAGCGGCTACTGGTTCGCCTTTGCTCATCGTTGCCAGCAAGATGCCACAGCAGCGCAGGCACATATCAATCATCTCATTCGAGTGCTGGAATCCCACTAAGAATCCTAGATCGTGAGCAGATTGATGTGCGGCCACCAGACATGCCCGGCCAAACCGCCCAATCTCTCTTTTTCTCAGTCCCTCGTCTGAAGCTGCATTCGATGGCTCCGTCGATGCGAAACAACTGCCCAACAAGGTTTCATATCCGGTCGCCCACCATCCGGGAACATCCGCCTTCACTTTCAACGCTGTCCAAAGCCAGAAATGTGTCAAAACCCCAAGCGGCTGGTATCCGTGTTACTTGTTACTTGGGACATCCAGTCTTGGCTAGGCCAACCTTTACCACGGGACGAAAACACTCCTCCCCACTCGCTCCCCACTCGGAGTGATTGTCGGGGAAATGGCAAGGTCGCGATGGCCGCCGGCCTTTTGGAGGGACCGTTGCCATCGCACCCAACCAACAAACCGACAAGTCCCCATTCACCAGAACGCGCGAGATACACTAGACTAGACGGAGAATAGGCGGAGGGGAAGGAGGTGCGAGATGAGAAGGAGGGAAAAACCCTTCTCCCCTCAGTGTCCTTTGCTCCCTCGGGCAGGCGCTCCGATCACTCACAGGCCTGGAGCTAACAAGATTAACTTGAGTGGAACCGGTCCGCTATCGGTAACGGCGCCGGCGCCACGCTACACATGTTTGCTGTCTCGGGTCGACCTGGGAAACGACGGTACCTAGGTAGCTGAGAGAAGAGTGGCACCGGCCGCCAAAGTCCCTGACCGCAGGCGCCCCGTTGCTTGATCGGGTCCATTTCCGACTTGACCCATAACAACTGACGGGTCCTGCAGCGCGGTTTCGCTTGCGAGGATCCGAAGGGCTAGCCACACATATAGGATGTAATTTATGGTTCCAGTTTCGATTGAGCTGCCCATTGCGAACCGCCGACTCGGACAAACGAACAATCACGGCATGCATGGGAAGTCCTTGTTGAGCCACCCAGTCATCACGAGGATCGCTCACGTTGCCGAGTTACGGCCGAAGAGTGGAGGAGTCATTGTGTGTGCATAAAGATTTGCAAAGACTTGCCTTTCCACTTGAGTGCCGATTACCTTGGCCAGCTTATTAACCAAGGAACCAAGGGATCTGGGATATCCCGGAGGAGAATCAGCTCAGCATTGAAGCAAGAGATAGCTAGCTAGAGAGCCTGTAGCGGCTCGTCAAGTACGTGTGGTAGGTGATGTGCTGCTACATGACTCAGACCCATCAGAAAACTGTGCAAAGTATAACAAGACCGCGATTACGATGGTGATATACTTGACGCAAAATCTCTTGGTGTAGGTCGTTAGGGGCTGAAGCTCAACAACATATTCCAACTGCGGGGTGAAGTGCGGCAGAAAGGAGGGGTCCATATCATGGAGAGCGAGGGACAGCTCTTATAAAATACACAAAGAACCAAGGCTATTATTCTACTGCACCCTTTCTTGTATCTCCAGGGAATGTAACCTCCTTGGCCAGCTCTACCCTAGGGAACGAAGTGGCCAAAAGAACTTTGGGCAGGGTTTTCCCGCCTTTGGTTGGCGACTTTGGTGACTTCGTTACCAGGTGGTTTGGTAGATACCCCGGATATCTCCATGGTATTCCATCAGAACCCTTATCTTGTGTTGAGTACCGAGCATGGTACCTTTACGGTGGGTTTTCTACTGTCTATGGTCACTATTATGTACCTGTGCCACCTCACGAGGGTAATCGATCCTCTGTAACAGCACACAGAGCGCCCGTCAAAGCGCTCTTGTACACGGCCAACACTCGACGAGCCATCCCCGACAGTATAAATCGAGTGCCACGAAGCAGTCAGTCAGTTGGTTTGCAACAGTTGTCGCCTCCAAGACCGGAACTGTGGATATCCAGGCTGTGGCAGTGCCTACCTTGATGAGGACCGAACAAACTCCCGCTAGCTTATTAGCATGGCCGCCGCCAAAAGTTTAATCGGCCTCATTTTCCACCCAACGGGGTGGACATGCGACAAAGAGGAAGGGCTTTCCTCGAGGCGGGAAGCCAAGCGCCGGGAGGTGACGCTTAAATTCTGCGGTGCAGGCTGGTCGATGGATCACGGCCGCATTCGGCACAGGCGTGATTCCTAGCCTCACTCTTAACCACCTGTTCGTCCCTCCACCAGCCAACAATTGGTGCGGAACTTCCCTCTGTCCGTTCGACCTGAACCTTAGGCTATGATCGATCCATAGCCACAATGTTTCGTGGACTTGTACGCTGCACCTTTCTTTCGTGAGGGTTGATCTCGGCCGCCCGCCATGCTCTCCCAGTTCGCCGGATCCGGTTTGATGGCTTCCGGGTCTGGAATTCTCCTTCGATCCGCTTGGCTCCTGCTGCGATTACATAGGCGCACTTGAGCTCAGCTCGGAGGTTGCCAGGCATTCCAGCCCTCAAAATACGACGACTCTCGCTCTCGCGTTGATGTTTCCCGGATGTTCATCACCGACACCGGAACAAACAAAGGCTGCAGCCAGAATCATCATCGTCGTCACCGTAACCGTAACCAGGGTTCGAATCGTCGGATCTTCGCGAAACGCAGGGTTGGCTGGGCGGACGTTTCGGTCATGCCAACATTACCACAGCTGCGATGTCTCTGCCACTTGGTACGAAAGCAGAATGCTGGGTTTGGTTCGCGTTGGCCATCTCCTCGGTAATCATGAGATTGTTAGCTGCGCCCTTCCGTCTTGCCAAGTTTCCCTGTGGCTGACACGATGGTGAAGCATGTCGCAGTATATCATTCGCAAGCACAAGTTCCTTAGCGACATTCCTGTGGACGACGTTCTGATGCTCATCCTCGTCGTACGTCTGTCCGTAGCCACGCATGACGCGACCCTCCCCATGGCCTCTTCCTCTTCTTCTTCCATCGTTGGGAGGCCATGACAGACAGGTTTACTGATTTACTTGGCTTGTTAGCTTACGTATACTACGGCAATCGCAGCCCTGTACAAGTACTTTGACATCTTTGCGGAAACTGACATTGATGCTCTCACCCCCGAAGAGAGTGTCGCAATCGGTCGCAAACTGGGGATCGTCAACATCCTCGCCGAAACGGCCATACAGACGACCTTGTGGGGCAACAAGTGCTGCCTACTCTTGCTGTACAACCGCCTGACGTACGTTGCCGTCCATCCGATGTTGACATGGAAGGGAAAGCTCACGAACGACAGCCTCTTCGGCCACTATCACAAGACGTTGATCATTGTCGCCACTTACACGGGGCTGGCATATCTCGCGGTCATTGTTGCATTGTATGGAGGATGGTGCCGCCCGTTCTCCGACTACATGGAACTGAATCCTGGCAACGGTCAGTCATGGCAATCGATTGGAAACCCTCGGCGCATTCAAATGCTTGCAAATGACAAAACGTGCGGTGGCAAGAGTGGCTTACATCCCATGCAGTCCAGTGTTTGACGTGGACGAATTACAACGTCCTTCAGATCACCATGAACCTCTCGACGGATCTCATCCTGCTGCTGATACCCGTTACGCTCATCATCCAGCTGAAGATGAGGATAGGAAAGTACGTGCTCCTCGATTGGCCCCGTTTGCCGCATCGCCCCTATGTTGCCTAAAAGCCGAATGTTAACTCTCGTGGCTGTGCCAGGAAGCTCCTTCTCATCTGCCTGTTTAGCATGGGCGTATTCGTCGTGAGTCCCTCCCTATACAGCACCATTTCGCCAACCTGTGCGAGCCACCCGGTTTCCTGACCGTGATCCGTCATTAGATGCTCTGCGCGATCCTGATGAAGGTCACCGTCTTCACCAACCCGTCTGACCCCGTCTGGTTCCTGTGGTCCGTTCGCGAAGTCAGCACGGCGATGCTAGTTGGCAACCTCGTCCTCGGCATGCCCATCCTCCGGTCCTTGTGGCGCTGCTTCGTCCCCGGGGCCGGCGACAGCATGGGAGACAAACCCTCAACGGCGGATTCGGGCGCTACGTCCACGGTTACAAAGAGCGGCGCAGGCGACCCCGCCGTGTTGGCGGCTTCGGAGCCGGGCGCGTTGAGGCCGGTGCCCCCGAAGAGGATGGCGATCAACAGCGTGTACACGGATGTTGATCTTTATGGCCAGGCCGGGCCGGGAGGCACGAGCCAGAAGATATGGCAGGGGCAGGAGAGTGTATGAAATCCGCCCTGAGGGGGGGTTCGATAACTGCGGCTTATGGTGTTTAATTAGCTAGCTGTACATACGCCATGTAGTCCACGAATGATGAACCGCTATATGATACATAGGTTCTCGCAAAGGACGACTAGACGCCAATCAACGGATAAGACAAACACACACTGCTCAGAAATCCCACACCGTAAGCATGCAACTGCATGGGACTATCTTTGCCGTCTGCTCGCGTGGGACGAGTGACTCAACATTGAACACAACCATCACCATAGCATGCAAGCCATTACCTCAACCGTCAACGGAAAGGGGCAGGTCAGAATGTGGACGGCGGGGAGCCCGACTTCAAGGGGTTTCTGGGAACTGAACGGCATGTACTTGAAGCTTGTATCGCTTTTTGTATAGATCAAGTCGCGGGAATGACCGGTGGCTTACTCGTCAGCGTCGTCTTGGGTAGGCATTGCATACTTCGGTCTGTTGCATTCCATCCCTCTCAAAGAAGATGGGACGTTCTTGAGAGGATGCGAGCGACATGTCCCCCGGATAACATAGTATCCGGGTTGTTGACCGGATGTCACAGCGGAACCAGCGGTCTACTCAACCTCGCCGTGACGGGATCTCATCCTTCAGTGATGTTCCCTTCCTCCGGCCGCGGCCCGTTCTTTATCTCCCATGCCGCATCGACCATCCGCTCCCAAATGGCAGCCGTGCAACAGCGACGGTGGCCGGCATATGCTTCAGTGCTCTCTCGGCATTTCACCTATCGCTCAGTAGCGTTGGTCGGCTTCGACGGGCCCGAGGGCCTGCGTCTAGACGAGCAATGGCCCGGCTGAGCACAGGCAGGGAAACGAGCCCTCTTGGATCCTAAGTCCCCCGGGGGGGGGGGGGGGGGGGGTGGACTCCACGACATATGCATTCCGCGTATCACGTTCTGGATCCGGGGCGGTCCTATGTTTCCTCTTTGGGAAATGATGAAAAGGTCTGTAAAAAGATGTCCACCTCTTGTTGCCATGATGAGACCCGGACCCGAGGCAACCACGCTTACTCTCTATTTGCCTTGACAGTACTTTCCGCTCCGCTCTTACTCGATAATAAGCATTGTTTCCCACACAGACCTCGGTCCCGTCGTGATACCAAAAATAACTGTTTCATTCCTTGCCTCTCGTCGTTGAGGACCCCCCTTGAGATCCTCTTCAGGATCCCGTAGACAAAATTGACGACTGCCCTTCTCTTGCGTCGATGGTCCCTAACTCCACGATGCTTGAGCGAAACACGGCAATGAAACCGGGGTTGGGGTTCTCATGTGAAAACACGCGAGAGGATAGAGAGAATCAATCTGAAACCAAGAAGGCTCAAGAGTTGGAGAGGACGGCAAGGGAAGCCGACCGACCCAGCGCCCCTTTGACCGTCGACGACGGCGCAGATCCATCGACAGAGCCAGAGTCTTCACAAATCATGATCTGCATAGGTTCAATCCATAAAATAAACCAGGAATCAGTCACATATGGATAATTTGACGCACGAGTTCTACCGGCCGACGTGCTGGCATACAATATCAAACTCTGCAATATCTCATCTCCTCTCTTCCGCACGAAGTGACATCGGCGGAGTGTATATAGAGAGAGAGAGAGAGAGAGAGAGAGAGAGAGAGAGAGAGAGAGACGTCCCAGTTCCGCATCAGTTTGGGGCCGATGAGAGAACACCCGCTCGTCAACAAACCCAGCCGTTCCTCTGTGGACATCTGGTTGTCATTAAATGACTCGGGAGACCGACTCACCAAGCACCAAGGACGAAGAGACAAGAGGCCCCTCCTTGGCCGGAGGCTTTCTGCTCGAATTCCAGTCTCCTCGCTCTGGTCCCGTCCCTGGTGCCCCCTTCCTGTCAAGCATCGAACAGCCGGCGTCCGCGACCGCCCGGCCCCTTCAGCCTCACCCACAATGCCCCATTTCCTCTGGAGCTTCCTACCCGAGTTCGGCCGCTGGGGTCGGCACCGCCGGGTCTCGGAGCAAGACATCCATCAGGAGCCGACGACGTCGGGCGCAAGAGACCCATCTCCCCTCGGGATCGACCGATGCCACTTCCCTCCCACCGTTCGCTGATCGACCTCACGTGGGACATGGTTTCTTCGCGACCGCGCCGTTTCAATTTCGATATGTTAAGTGCATCGCACACCACACCGGCGTCACCGGTCCTGTATCTTCAACCGACGATCGGCCGCAGAGACGCCTCGATGTTGACCCGGTGGACTGGAGAAGGCCTCACTGTAGGAGAGATACGTATCCAAGGCGGGCACGTCTCAAGGTCGCACAGGCGCACAATCATATTCGGACTCTGATGCAACCATACCCGCTTCACTAGTCTTGACTCGTCAGCCGAGGATCGGCGCAGAGACGTCTCAACGTCAACCCGGGGGGCTGGAGAGGTCGAACGACGAACCGACCCAGAGGCGCTAGCCTCCTTTAGAAGGCTTCGAAGAGAATCTAGTGCGTTTGGATCGTCAAGGAAGCAAAGGAATAAAAAAAACCACAGACGTTGCTGGCTTCGGGTCAGGCCGACGCCGGAGAGAGCGTTGCATGGCGCGGTTCACTAGCAGAAGGGAAGGAAGCCGGCAAGCGACATGATTTCTCGGGGGGGGGGGACAATGATCAATAATCTCCTTCTGCTTCTGCTGACGGCCTGGTCGATCTTCCTGACGGGTTTCCTTTTCGACGTTTCAACGAAACAATTTGGGGGCCGCCCGGTAATAACGCAGGCCTTCCGCGCTAGCCCGATGTCACGTCGGCGACGAGGCTTCTCCCTCATGGGCAGTAGGGTTTTTTTTGTTTTTTTTTAACTCTGATTATCGGGTACCGTATACACTGATTAAATACGACCACCCCCACTTTTGTGTCTAACGATAGAGGGTATAGCGGCCGCTGAGGATAGACTAGCGTGCTGGCAGAAACAGAGATTAGATACTGGCAAAAGTAGGGACTAGCCACGTGTCGCATACGTCAGCAGGAAGTTTGGGTGGAAGCCTGGCTGGCTGGGTAAGTGGGCCGGTTGACCGCCTTCAAAAAGGGGCTTAGCGTGAGTAGCAGCCGCAATACCCCTTACCCTTAGCCTCGAGAGTGGAGGTGGTCGTAATTAACCAGTGTATACGGTACTCAACTCGTGTTCTCTGCACTTCCCACCCACTCTTCTCTCGTGGTACTTGGACGCTCAGTCTCACGCGACGGTCAGTCTTCACTAGAATACGACGTAACGGTGGTGCGGTAGCATGTCTCAGTCCTGCTGTCGTACTTTACCCATCGGGAGGTTTTATCTACTGGGATTGCCTGTTCGCAACCCGGGACCCAGGTACGTATAATGATAATAATAATAAAATAACACACAAGTCCGTAGAAATGAGACACTCCAACGTGAACCCCGTTTGTCAGATCACTGAGTCGTCTGCTGCCCATCCCGGCGGAGTTAATTATGTCGATCATCGGCGTACGGATAATTCAATCAAACACTACCTCAACGCCGGCGACGAGGGCTGATTCTGGAAAATGGCCGGCTCTGCTCGCGAACCCTCCCTCCCCCCTCGGCAGTGTCTACTGCGCGGCGCGCGCGCGCCCTCAAATTGCTGGTAGACTTTGCAACGAGGGTCAGTCGCTAGTACAGAGGCTAGCTCCGCCCGTCATTTGCCTCCCGTGTCGCGAACAAGGCACAGTCCACAACCGGGACGGTTTCGCGAAATGAAAAAAGGAGTGAAAAGTAAGATTCCCAGATAGGATTGTACTGGGCGCAGGCTGCAGAAGGACAATAATCTCCTCTTTGCCTGACCGGTCAGCCCGGGGGGGGGGGGGGGGGGGATTCCTCGTGTAGAATTCGCTTGGCCTGCATGCTTGTTCTGTCACGGTCCGGTTCGCCGCCGTGACGGTTCCAGCAGCATACATGATGCGCCAAGAAGGCCAGCGCCGTGCCGTTGACAAAACTGCGCCTCACACCGAAGACGGGCAGCCAGTCCCCTTCAAGAACATGCTGTGTGGATGAGTAAATCGTTAGATGAGCTCCCGTAAGCCTCTCAGTCGCTCCCCCCTTCCTCCTCCCCCCCGCAACGCGCTCCTGCCGATGCTTACGGCGGGCGGGCTTGGTCTTCCTTCCCCAGGCCTGCAAGACCTTCGGAGAGAAAAAGTGACCTGTCGTGGCTTTACTTGTTGGGCCCTCGACCCACCTGAGCAGTTAACCGGACAGGCTCCTTCTCCCACGTCTGCCTGCCCTCTTGCCCTCTTGAGGTCTAGACTTCCCTTGGCGGCGGGTCATGTTGAGGAAGAAACGGGGCCGGATCGGGCTGGAAGTCGGGGACATGTCTGGTTCCTTGTGAGTGATTCCACTATTGACGCGAGTTCGGGACAAGACTTTTGAACCATGACAGCATACGGAGACGGGTAGGAGAGCCCCCACCCTCCCCCAGCCTAGCGAGGGGGAAGACATGGTGCGACATACACACGGGACAGTGTGCATTATCTTGGTACGCAACGGATGGCGTGTACCTGCGGTGCCAAGATCTGCCTCGATCACCCCTCAGCATTTGCCGACCAACCACGACCAAGTCGGGCAGCCCTCATAGACACTTGAGAAGATTTATGCGTGCATCGAGGGCATGCAGCAGCATCCTGCCGGGAGGTCCAAGGATGTGACCAAATTTGCATCTCCGCGTGGGTGGGGGCATGCCGTGTACGATGGAAGGCATGTCAGACCAACCTGCTGCTGCGTCGAGACCAACTTCTGTTGCGCAGCTTGTAGAGGAGTGATGATGCTCGGGCCGGGTCGACAATGGGTGTAGGGTTCCCGTGCCCGACCCGGGGACTTGGTCTGAAAGTGATGAGACGACCCATCATTTCGCGAAATTTCAGGCAAGAGTGTCAAATATGGTTTTGAACAGGTGGTTGTATCTTGGTCGAACCATACGACGTCGTCCTTAGGGAGACTTATATGATCGAGGGTGCAAAGTCGGCTCGGTACCAGTGCAGGGAATACGAGGACAGCATCTGCCCATGTGGTTGAACAGTGGTCTCCACATTGCTTTCGCCATCTGGTTCGGAACTTATGAGAGCGTCACGTCTGAAGACCCGTCAACTAACCACAAATCGTTTTGCAGGGGGGGCGGTAAATGGCATCTCCAGTTGTTGCTAATCTCCTCAGTAAGCTCCGACAGACAGAGCAGGGACCAGTCTGGCATAGGTACCTTGTTACGTACGTAGTAGTACACGTACTCCCCATTTGTGTCTTCTTGGAAGGTGGAGGATGGTGGAGGATGGACCAGGCGAGTGAACCGGCAAGTCTTTTGTTGTCGAGAATCTCACGAGGGGGATGACAGGGGCAGCGAGGTGACTGGTAGTGGAGTTGGTGGAGAAGACGGACGTGGCCCCTTGGTGAGTGTATCGGTACTACTACGTACAGGGTGACAGGGGTAAGTAAAATACCCCTATGATGTTACCCCCCATAACCGACATCATGATAGAGGGGGAATATTCACCAAAAGTGAAGCTCTGCAGGAGGGGGGTGGACGTTAGTTACCTAACCGGGGTATTTAACTTCGGCCTGGTACCCTTGTACATTGTGCACTACTGTACTAGTAGGTATGTGCACTACTAAGCCCCGAGTCCTTCAGATAATTTGACCAGGATACCCTAGGGTTGCCGGATAAGGAACATACCCTGGAAAAATAAAGGGGCACTTGTCATTTGCCGCTGCACTTGATTTCATCATGATTGATAAGGTTTACTCAACTTCGAGCGCACTGTGCGTCGGCGTCTACACTAATCTTGCGGCCCAATGAGAGGTCGCCTGTAGTTGCTGCCCTTTATTTCATCACCTCTGACCTGTCATCGCCGGCTAGGACAGCTACCGTTTGAGTTTTGCAGTCGGTCGGGTGCATGTTTCTGCTGCAGTTTTGTGTCACGATAGTAGTAGTAGTACTGCATTTCTTCCACAACGTCGTCTCCTTGCGGTCGACGGGACAACAACAACGCCTGCCTGTTGGCTACCTACCGAAAGGTTGCAATGCAATGAATCGCAAATGTGTGCTCGCAGGGAGGCCATGTGGGGTGGTACTCGGACCGGGTAGCGGAGGGCGGCTCCTTGATTGGCACGCGGCCCGTTCGGAGAGAGGGCTCGAGATCGAAGCACAAAGGCGCCATGACTTGCTTTGGTGTGGGGGCCATGCCAGTAATGCGGATACTGAGCGGGCATATGGAGTTCTATACCGTGACGAGCAATGATGACAGGCACAAGCGTGGACGTCGAGATGTGTCGTCAAGCTGCTGAGGGAATGCGCGCGGCTCCGGGTCCAAAGTGCAAGGAGGTGGAGTGAAAGGAAGGGGGGGCGGCAAAGGTGTGAGTTGATCGGATACCGTTGGAGTGGGTGTTGACACCGGACGGACGGCTGAGAGACAGCCGCTAATGGATTTCTTCAAGGTGTGACCTGGATTCTCGAAAAGCAACGCGTCGGTAGTGGCCGTTGAGCGTCGCATTAGCGTTTTGTTGTTGGTACCTACTCCCTAAGGGTAGTGTTGTCTTTGGTGTCGTTCTGGTGGTGGTGTGGTGTGTGTGTGTGTGTGTGTGTGTGTGTGTGTGTATCGGGAGGCTGGCCCGATGGGGTTAGTCTCCTGTCATATCCGCATGTAGGCAACCTCCCGAAAACTGCTGGTCGCCCGGTGCTAGACCTGCTCGGTCGGCGTCCTTAGTGCTCTCCCATACACCTATACCTGTATGAGCGGTTCTCCCCTTCGAATTATGGGGCATGTGCCTCGCTCAACAGCCTGTGAGCGCGCTTTCTTTCCATGGTTTGCATTACCCTCCACGGCGGTACGATATCCCAAAAGTAGTGTAAGAGAAGCTGCAAGGGCGGGATACCAGTAAACCCCTGGTGCATCTTGGCAAGACGCAACAGACCACGCGGCTATACATACCATCGCTGATGATAAGTGATGGCAAAGTCAGCCCTTCCTTGTCCCCAGTGGCCCAGTCAGTCAGGGTACGGAGTACTGATGCCCAGGAATGCATACAGGTACATACATGCT